CTTCACACATTTCCCTGTCCCCATTTGGCACATTGCCATTACCAGCCCACCTTGTATCTTCGATCACATTAGCTTGTTACTGAAATTCTTCATTTAAAACAGTCAGCCCTGGGATGTTCCAGCAGCATTTTTTGCCTTTAGAATTTTTACGTAGAATAGCATCTGCAACTCAATTTCACTTCGACTTCCCTGTCTCCAGCTTGGACATGTCTAGAAATTCATAGTGATGTTTTGATGGAGAGTATCTACAAGGATGGGTTTGTAGTATTCAATTCAATAAGTGATTATTGAGCGGCCCGGCACGCCTACCCTAAACAGTAAATAGACGCACAGGGACCAGCACAGTGCAGGTGGCCGCTTCTGTACCATTAGCTGGAAATCATTCGGCAACATCCATCATGTTAAACAAGATACTTCTTTACTGCCACCTCATTACTCAGGCTCACTTCACTGGAATTCTGTAACTCTGTATTTCTTTGAAGTATGGTTACAAAGTCCCACCGCTTCATAATACACATACAGGCAAAACACTCTCTACAGTGCCCAGAAGGGCAGGAGCATATTTTTGGACAAGAAGAGAAAGGGGCTCAGAGCGCAATCAAACAAAGCAAGCACACCCATCTGCCTTCACAGCAGTAAGACTTTTGCATGGGACAGGTACAGTTAGAACTTAACTATGCAGAACCATTGAGGGTTAAACCAAAGCAATTTGGGAGAAAGTGATTAATGCTATTTCCTGAAGCACCCTTGCTGGTTTTGTCAGCATTTAGTGAAGAACTAACAATATTAGACTGATTCCTCATCATAGGAGGATTTACAATGCAAGGAAGCAACCCCAGATCCTCTGCTGTAGAGAAAAGGGGCCGGGCATTGTTCTTCTGCCCTCAATCCTGTCCTTTTAAGCAAGAATTTGGATGAAGCCATAGAAGGTATGTTTATCTGATAATGCTGGGAGATGCGGCTGACATACTGGACAAAAAAATAATTTATATTCAAAATATGCTAGAATGCTGGGATGGAACTAAACAGGAGAAAATCTAGTACGCCAACACTCAGGTCATTAAACGAGCTGTGCAACCAGGGCAGCCAGTGAAAGCAGGCATGGAGAGCTTATGAGCCAACACTGAATACCGCTACTAGACACATGTACCAGGGAGGAAACTAGGCAGAGTAGCCCTGGAACGAGAAGCTGAATGTGTATTAGTTAGATCACATCTGTAGGATCAGGTACCATTCTGGAGGCCCCACTTTATTTCGATCATTCCACACTGAAGGAAATCCAGAGGAAGGCAGCCAGGATATGGTAGGGCATGAAAATACACTAATATAAGGAACAGCTGGAGAAACTGAGGCCTTCTAGACAGAAGATGAGGAGAGAAGACAAGACAACCATCTTCAAATATCTCAAGCCCAGGAGTTGCCACTAGCCCAAGATGGTACAACTTGAGGACTAAAATGAATACCTGACAGTAATGGATTATAATCCATTAACTAGTAAAATAACCCATGAGCCAATGCTAACAATACATATCTAAGCCTTAGATCCTACGGGCTAGCAAATGGAAAGAGGAGTAGAGTTGCTCTGTTTATAGACAGGTAAGTTGAAGCTACGTCCCTTTAGGTGTAGTATGGAAAAGAATCTGCTGTCAGCTAATGAAGGAAGACGGCAGAACTCTACTTAAGAAGTAGATCCTCGGGCGCCTGGGTGGCTCAGTCGTTAAGTGTCTGCCTTCGGCTCAGGTCATGATCCCGGGGTCCCGGGATCGAGTCCCACATTGGGCTCCCTGCTCGGCAGGAAGCCTGCTTCTCCCTCTCCCACTCCCCCTGCTTGTGTTCCTGCTCTCGCTATCTCTCTCTGTCAAATAAATAAAATCTTAAAAAAAAAAAAAAAGAAGTAGATCCTCACGGTTTGTGAAATAATTGTGTACTCTTATTCAGAGCGTCTAAACTTTCGTTTTCCCTCCAACAGTCGTGGGAAATTAACCCTTACTGAATGTCTAACAGGTGGCAAGTAAATGTGCTTGTCTTACAGATAGGGAAATTAAGGCGCAGTAACTCACACAACAGGACACAGAGGGTAACCACTAGAGCTGGGATTTGAACCTGGGTGTGCCCAAACTCCTTCCACCCCACCACGGCACACAAAATACACACAAGGTGATTGGAGAGGTACCCGAGGGCCCCGAAGCTGTGGTTCTTTAATGGTTACATTTTCCTCATCTACCCAGCATAGCCCTGCCACTGTTCTCTTCTTCTGGATTAGAAGATGAAGACTGGGGTCTTTTCTAGAAACCCATTGTGAAGATGACCCTGATCCCTGCAGAGGGACTCTGCCCTATTCCCTCCCCACAGCTGCCCCTCTTTGCCCTTCTCTTGAATGTGGTTCGGTTTCCCTGAATCAGTCCATTTTTGTTATCCTGCTCTTCTTCAGAGTCTGTTCACCTGACCACGTGGAAAGCAACAGAGACCAGTCTCCTGGTTTTCTGGTACAGTTAGGGGAAAATTTAACACTGTTGATACATCTCTGAACTCAAAGATACCACTTACTGGTTTGCCTGACGAAGGGGAGTGTAGGTGAAGGAGGGCACATGGCTGTCCTGTTATTACTGTTCTGTGTCAGAAGAGTAAGGACATTCTAAATTATAGTACGTGGTCACAGATAGGGCCTCTGTTTTATTCTGAAAGTGTGACTACTTCTAGGTGATTCTTCAGGGTTCCTGTAGAGAACACAGAATCTCCCATCATCCCCAGACCCACTACCCATGTTTCCCAGGGCCTGAGAAGGGAGTTAGGGGTTCGTGTTCCCAAACAAGCCAGGTTCTCCAGCTGACTATTGCTTTCTGCTTGGTGGTAAGGAAACTTCGAGGCTTCTTGAGCATATTTAAAAATACAATGTTTGTGTTTCTGGCTGCTTTCCGACCAGCTGTTTTAGCTGCCTCCTGATACTGGAATTTCCTGAGATCAGGGACTGTGTTCCCTCTGTTCATTGATCCCACAAGCCTTTCCTGAGCATCTGTATGTGCTGCGGGCCAGGGACAGGAGTGAAGCAGACAGACAACCTTGCCCTCATCAAGGCTTAACGGCCTGGCTAGAGAGACACACATCAAACGAGAATTACACAAATAAGGATTCACATTCAACAAATAACCCACATCTCTCTACAGTATCCAGCACAGAGCTCAGCACGTGGTGGGTGCTTTTTCAAGAATATGTGACTAATGTTTTTGTGGAATGTGCAGAAAGACTGACCAGCTGAGTTCATCCTAGCATTGGGAGTACAATGCCTTGACCTTTGGAGTGAGAGAAAAAACATGACAGTGAAGCAGAATGATCTGGGTGCTAGTTCCTGCTTTTCCACGAACTACTAGAATTTTCCTGGGTGAGTTACTCAATCTTTCTAGGCCTTAGTTTCCTTATTTATAGAATAATATGTAAGTAACCAGGATTCTTCATGAATTGTGACATGCCTGCCATCGGAAGTGTTCTAATTTGGCCTCACTTACCTTGCCAGAAGACAAGCAACGGCTGGAGCCGAAGACAAGACAAGTGGCTCTGGCACAGGGGTCTGTGTCTAAGTCAGGGCTGTGGGAAGATGCAGTAGCAGCTGGAAGGGATGGATCCCCTGGACCATGAAACTAAGAGCCTCTCTCTGAACATGGGAAATGCTGCATTTTGCTTCCCACCCACTGACTGTTTAAAAAGAAACACTCATTCATAGGATATTCTAGGTTACATTTCTAAACAACAGATCAGGAAAGTACGGGAATAGTTTTCTTTGTGTTTTTACAAGTGGAAAAAAACAATTTTCCATCCACTCTGATAGTCAAAAATGGCTTAGAAACTTGAAGGCAGGATGTCAGACAGAATTACCTTGAATGTTCTTGAATACTAGTCTAGAGCGTGACTTAGCACCGTGATCTTGGAAGGTCTGGGGCACAGTCTTTTTTTTTTTTTTTTTTTTATCCCAGTAAGAAAAAAAAAATTAGGAAAAATCCTAATGAATTCAGATCATCTTCAAAAAAACCCCATAACATAGAAAACAAAAATGAAGCAAGGACACAGTCTGTTGCCTAAGGCTGAGGGACTAGACCAACACACTAGGTCTTGATAGACTAGGGCCAAATCATCTTTGGAATTCCATCCCTTCATTCATAAAATCACTAACATGCAGCAAAAGATCATCTCATACTCATTGACCCTGAGGTAAGCAAATGAGAGTTTCCCATTCCTGCCAAATTTAGACAGCTGAATTCTTCCCCTGGGCTTGAACAAATACACTGGGTCTTCGCTACTCCTTTCTTGTACTCTCCTTCAGAACTCCTACCTTCTGCTTACTTGCTCCAAAATATAAAAGACCAAGTGACCAGGCTTTCTCGAAAAGACTACTATATCCCTCCAAGCTGCTTCCCACATCACTTCTTGGTCCTCTGCCCCTCAGGAACTGAACCCCAATACTCTGACCAGAGGAAGGCATCCTTTCCACCGAGCCCCTTCAGAGAAGAGGCCCCTACCAACCAGCATCTCTGTGGCCATTTGCCAAATCACTGGTCTTGGTCTAACTTTAGATGAGCCTATTCAATCATTATAAATATGAGCCAGTCACAGCCACTAAGGTCTCAGGAAACCATCCCAGCCTCAGCCCCTGAGGTCCAGCTTCCCAGGAGGCAGAGCCACCCAAGCAGCCCAGGCGGGGTATCTCTGGAGGACAGGACACCCAGACCCTCTCACCCTTCACCCTTGCCACATCCTCATCACTTCTGCTAAACTCCCATGACAGGAGAGGTCTGGCTGGTCACCTGGTCTTCTATCCGCCCAGACAACATCTCCGCACTGTGACACACTCCTCCAGCCCTGCTCTTTCCACTTTGGCTGGCACAAAGAGACAACTGACTCCTGAGGTTGGGTTCCATAGTGGGAGAAATTCCTCTGGGGCTAATTCTCCAGGGGTGGTGAAGCCAACAAGAAGTCTTAGGGGAAGGAAGGTTGGGACACTGTCCTACCTTGTCACTGTCCACTGTATTCTGAGAGGTCCTGGAGGCGATGGAGATGGTGTCTGGCTGGCTGCTCCCATCCCCTTGGCTGTCAACATCCTCCACTCCATCCCTGCCGGCAGAAGAGAAAAAAAAAACAGGGGTGGGGGTGGGGGGAACCACTGTGGGTTTAGAGCACACAAGGATTTCCAGCTGGTCTGGCAGAGCAGAGCCTCAGTACTTTCTAGCAGGGATTTGTCTAAAATTATCCCACTAAAGAGAGCAGCCCTATGTGATTTTCAAAGATGTCACCTCTTGTACTTAAAAAGCACACAATCCCTATGCTGATAACTGAGCATGAAATGGCCCCTCCATAACTCCTCTGGCCCACGGTGCAGAGGAGGTGATGATTTATTTATTTTTTTACTGGGAATGGGTCTACAATAGGCAGTTAGAAGAGGTCCACCCTACTTAGAACCTAGGCGTCTACCCAGCTGACTGGGTGATCCCCAACAATCCCAGAGTTCAAGGTATTCGAATAGTTTTTCTGCATGCTGAGGGAGGATGGGGGTTAGTTTATAGCTAGCCTATAAAGAAAACAGAACTGAGAAGAATATATATTTTTTTTACTTGTATTTCTTCTGTTCAAGAAAATAACGTGAGATATTTCCTCCAGGTGAGATTATCTTTGGGAAGTTGCTGATGTTGGATGCTCATCGCCTGGGTATGGAGGAAGAGAGCATTTCCTTCATTTTGGTGGGTCTTGTGGATCTCATGCCTGTTTATGATGACTTCGTATCAACACAGAAGGCCAAGGCCCCATCTCAAAGACCCCAGATTGCACAGCAGCTTTCTGAGTCATCTGTGCTCCTGAGCATCTAGTGAAGTAATCTCCTGAGTGCGCTCCTGACATCTGGAGCCCTTCCTGGGTCGCTGGACCATATAGCTGTCCCACTCACATGTCCCTTCAATTCTCTAGTGTGAGAATTAGGTCTCAATCCTGCACTGAACCCATAGCCAGGGCCAAGGGGGATTAGGTGCCTGGGAACTGGTGAAGGCTGAATGGTCCGTGTCAGGAAAAACTGAAGGAGATGTGGGCCAGGACTTGGATAAATGAGCACCAAGAGTGTCCACTCTTCCCATGGAGGCTTGTGAAAGTCTCACCCCTGATGCTGCTTCTGGAGAGGTAATGGCATTGGGAACTTGCTGCCCCAGGATGACACCACGTGGGCAAAATGCCCCATGTACAAAGTCGCCTCACAGAGTCTCAACAATTACAGTCTGGTGTACGTGGACATGTGTGTGCAGGTGGGCATGCATGTGATACACAGGTATATACACAGTATCTCCTAGTCTTACAAAGGGTCTTCTCCTACCTAGAATGCTTCTAGGTCAACTGCCTTCTTACCACCACTTGCAGGGGTGGGAAATGCCAACTTATTTTAATAATATAAGCCACGCATTCGTAGGAAGGAAGATCTGCTGTAAAACGAAATTATGTGATGCATTTCAAAACCAAGAATAAAGGACTCTTAGATCATCTGCTGTTTTAGATACCTGGGCCGCTGCTCCCCACCATTTGCCTACAGTTGAGGGTTGGCTGTACTTTGTGCTTCCCACCCTTCTGGCCCATTGCAGGCCCTTCTGGCCCACTGCAGATAAAGCCAGGTCTGGGGGATGTGGGGAGCCCATCCAGGAGTGGGGGTGCTCTCCAAGCCAATTCACTCCTCTGTAAACTCTGTCCCCACCTCCTAGGAGCCAAGCTAATGAAATGACAGACAGCCTTACTGTTCTCTGCAGACTCTGCCCAGGGTTTTCACTCTCTTATTTCAGGACAATGACAGAAAAACAGTGGGAGGCATTTCCAAGAAAGGTCCATCTCATGTTCTATAGATGTCCAGACTCTACTACTCAGGGAAAAAGGGGCTCTATCACAGAGACACTTGAGCCAACCTCACCTGAATATCCATTCTTTCCTTTCCTGCATGCTGTTGGACATTGAGTTCTTAGAACATTTCCACTCTATCTCCTTTATTAGAGTAGGGGCTTCCTGCAGCAGAGTGGGTCCCTGGCACTAAACTAAGTCTGCCCCTTCCCTTTATTCTGGACATGGGTAACTGAAATCAAAATAACCCCTCCTCCAATACAGCTCTAATTTGTCCTTCCAGCACTGAGAGGTGACCTTATCCTGGCCATGCAGGTCTTGGGGTTTCTGGCCTGTGGAGGTATCTCTCCCTACCTTAGTCACACTCTTCTTCTGGCTATCACCTCCCTTTGTACTAATGCTGCTACTCTGCAGGTCCTCAGGTCCATGTATCCTGGTTGGCACCAGAAGGTCAACTAGATCTTTGGGATTTAGTCCATTCATGAATAGTGGAGGAAAGGCGAGCCTATTACCACCAGCGACCATCACCCCCAGAACTTTGTTTTTTTCCCAAGGTTAACATGATGTTTTTTATATGCTTTCATTTGAAGTGCCCTCTAAGAGAGTCATTGTAGGTGACTGTCCCATGGAGATTTGAGAAACAGTTAGGAAGCCTTCCATCGGTGTAGGGCAACTGGGATTCGGAAGGGCCCAGAGAGGTGAAGATACAAAAAATCAGTCCCCTTCTGCCCAATCACCTTGCTTATCTCAGATAACTGAAGGTGAGGACTCGGGGGTTACAGAAGAGCTGCAGTGATAACCCCACCACCCCATCCCCCTGCCATTACCATATACAAAACTCCTTTACTGTCTTGTCAGTCCACTCATGGCCTACCTCCCTCTCAAAGCCTTCCCTGGACGTTCCTCTCTAGTGCTCATCTAAAGTCCCCTCTCAGTGAATTTTTACAGCATTTACTGTCCCCACGGGTGGCACTGGTTCTTCTAGTCTAACTGTTCCACGTGTGAGATACAACTGTTAGATGGTTCTAGAGGGCAGGGGCTCATCGTGCACTTCCCCTTCTCAGAGCACCTAGCAGCGTCTGTGAAATAAGAGGTGCTCGATGGAGCCCTGCTGAATATAACTGGCAGGAATGGTGAGATGCTCAGAGAGGAGATTCCTCATCTTAGACAGGGCTTCATAGAGAGGGGTGCCAACTGCGGAGCGCACCGCTCCTGTGGGAGCAGAGGGCGACCCCACTCGTGCTCCTGGAGCACATGAGGCAGTGCTTGGGGGGGAGAGATGCTGGTTACCTCTTACTATTGTTCCTCTGTTTGGCTGGTGTTTTGGGGAGCTGAATTGGCTCCTTTAAAGCTCCTTTCAGGTGAATGATCCTTTCTTGAATCACCTCTCGAATGTTCTTGATCCACTCTTGCTTGGTTTCTATGTTGGAGGCCTGGGGTGCCACAGAGAGAAAGAGTAAACAGCCCATCTCCCTTTGCCCTGCCAAAACAGTTCTCAATCCTCCTCCTGCAGGCTTAACCCATTATTTTCAAGGACACCAAATGTTTGAGGAGCTCATTTCTCATTTTACACGCATGACTCTTCAATCCCAGGGACACACTCCTTCAACTCCTAGAATGGGGCTAAGACCTCAATACTCAATGTAGACTTGTACAGAAGTGATTTTCAAAGTATTTAATACTCTGTGTGGCACTGACCAATACTGACATCTGCCCTGGGGCACCTGAGTGGCTTAGTTGGTTGAGTGTCTGTCTGCCTTTGGCTCGGGTCATGATTCCGGGGTCCTGGGATCAAGCCCCATGTCAGGATCCCTGCTCAGCGGGAGTCTGCTTCTCTCTCTCCTTCTGCTCCTCCCCGCTGCTTATGCTCTCTCTCTCTCTTTCTTGCTCTCTCTCTCTCAAATAAATAAGTAAATAAGTAAGTAAATAAATAAATATCTTTTAAAAAATATTGCCATCTGCCTTGGGGCTGGAGCATATGTAGAGGTCCCCTGCTGGGTCAGGGATGAACACATCAATTGCTAGATGCTGGGGAGGTCTGGGGAGTACTGGGAGGGGTAGCAAGGGATATTTGAAGGCAGTGGCTATTTACCAAGTGGTACAGATCCATGTTAGCACGTTCAACTCCTGGTGTGCCTACATACATAGGTTTGTGCTGCCTCAAAGTCAGGGCTGGGTTTTTAGCCTTGTAAACACGTTCATTGAAGGCACTTGTGCCATTTCATGAAGATCCCATTTGTCTTTGTGGATTTGTTTTCAGGTAATTCTGTCTCATGGCAGGTAGAGCTAGGCTGGCAATTCAGAGGGAACAAGTGTGAAGCATTCGTCAGGGTCGGACCATCTCTTCCTTGGTGGCAGCCACCCCAATAAGCAAATGACTGGGGGGAGCCCCATCTGCAGGACCCCTTCCTGGTTAGATGCACCACAAGCCCCACAAGTGCTCTGTGGGAGCGCAAGCCCCAAACCCCAGGCTGAATGTGCTCTGGAGAGCTGGAATGACTCCTTAAGGCTGTCATCTAGTGAAAGGCCCTTTCTTAGCACTCCTTTCAATCAACATATTCACCACGTTAGTGTGATTTACTAGAGCTCTAGAATGTAAGTTTCTGGAGGACAAGGTCCATCTCTCATGCGTAGCTAGAAGCAGTACTGAGCAGAATACCTTCTGTGCAGAACGTGTTCAAGAAAAAGTATTGAATGAATGTGGAGCAAATCAAGGTAGCTTTTGCCAAAAGGTCAGTTGTCCTTGCCCTTGAAGAGGACATATGGACAGAACATATTTAAGTGGGCCCTGCTGAGACTCCCTGCCTCCCTCCCTCTAGGTACACATGAGGGGAGGGACTTAGAAGACCACTGGTCTTTGAGATTTCTTTTTTTAACATTTAATTTATTTATTTGTCAGAGAGAGCACAAGCAGAGGGAGAAGCAAGCAGAGGAAGAGGGAGAAGCGGGCTCCCCATTGAGCAGGGAGCCGGATGTGGGACTCGATCCCAGGACCCTGGGATCGTGACCTGAGCAGAAGGCAGACGCTTAACCGACTGAGCCACCCAGGCGCCCCTGGTCTTTGAGATTTCAAGTCTACTTCCATGAAAGAACTTGCTTTTTAATACCCATGGGATACTGCCCTCCCCGTGGAGTCTCCAGGCCCCAGCTTTCAGGAAGAACATGCTGCAGCCCTCTGCCCTCCTCCTGCTACCCACAACCCTGGGCGAGTGCCCAGCGGAGAGCAGTACTTACTTTCAGCACTGTTTTATTGTCTGAGGAGGGGGTGCGCCCAGACCACAAGGCGAATTTGCAGGGATCACCTTCTACGTGCTCGGTCACACCCAGCTCTGAGGTCTGTAGACAGGAAATGCCTGTGAGAGGCGGGGAAGGGGAGGGCAGTGGGGAACTTAGGGCTGGGGTGGGAAAGGGAAGGGCAACAAAGAGGAGAGGACCGAGGGAGGGGCTTCTGTCAATCAAACTTCAACAGACTGGATGCTTGTTCAGTTACCCGGATGAAAGGACCTGCAGGTGCCTGCCAGATTAGCAGGTGGCAGGGAGGGAGGGTGAAGAGGGAGGCACTAAAAGCAGACAGCAAGAAGACCGGTGAACTCTAAGATGCAGAAGTGGGAGTCGAGGGGGGGGGCAGCTTTCCAAATAGGAGGCATTTTCATTTGTCCAGGACGGTTTTGGTGTGGTGCCAGGGGGAGAGATGAGCTGAGTGTTCAAGAGCCCTTTCTGCCCAAAGGCTCTATGACAACAGGGGGACTTGTCTTACCCCACCTGCCCCACCTACCAGTAGCTTGTTCTTGTAAACATATTTCGTGTGTCCTGAAGAGTCTTTGATCTCCTTGCTAAAAACCAAGGAGATCTCAAAGAGGAACAGGTGCCGCTCCCGCCCCTTCCGGATCAGCGACTTTGGGTCCCACACTTGGAAGGCATCCTGGAGAATCAGCTCTCCCTGCACATCCAGGTTCTCGTCGAACCCTGAAAGACACCCGTTCCCACCCCATGGAGTTTCTCTGGTGCCACGTGGGTGCCACACTCCACTCCCCACTTGGAAAGGCTTCCCTGACCATGAGCCCCCCATTCCCACAACGTTGGCTCTCTGGGCTGATTCCCGAGACTCCTCAATACTTGAGGAGACAGTTCTAGGGAACAGTAAGCAGATCCCCCCTCCCACACCACGTCTCCTACGCATAACCAGGATCAGTGGCATCTCCCCAAGGCCTGGGACCTCCTGCGAGGGCAAACCCTATGTCACCTTCTTCCTACAGTTCCCCACCAACTCAGAGCACTGAGTGGGGCTGAGGACAAGCACTGCTGGATGGAGGAGTGCCCTTGACTCCACTTTATTTGTCCTTGCTTTATTTCTTAGGTTCCATTCCTAGGACTCTTCCCTTTGATGGCTCCTGTACAGTGTGGTGCACACACCTTCAACAGTTCCATTTATTCCACTTTAAATTTTAACAGCGGTTCTGAAACTTAGTATGTGTAAGAATCACACAGATTCCTACCGACCCCTGCCCCCTCAAGAGACTGGGATTCGGTGGCTGTGGGGTGGAGCCCAGGAATCTGCTCTTGGGACAAGCTCTCAGGTGTTGCTGTTGCTGGTCCGCAGACTGTACTCGGAGTAACTGGCTTCAGAATACAGGGCAGGGACAGGCTGGAGGAGAAGGTTTGCTTGCAGGGGAGAATACCCAGGGCTGGGGATGAGGATCAGGTGCAAACAGAAAAGAAAAGGGTGGAGAAATCGTGGCAAGAGGAGTAGGTTCAGACGGCCAGCGCTCAGTCTGGAGAAGGTCACCAGGGCTCCATTGCATGGAGAACTATGGCTTCCTCTGCTCAGGGTGACCCAGGAAGTGGTGAGACCAGACCAAGTCTTCTAGACGGAAGGTGGGGAACGGGGAAGGGGAGGTGATGACGGGAGATGGAGCCCGGAGGAGAAAACACAGCCCACAGGTTTGCACAGTTGCAACAGAGTACATTTCTGTCCCACAACACCTGTTTGCCAGCCCAGACTGGGATGCCGAGTCTGAGCTCCTCTAACAGTCCCGCCCCGGCATGGCTGATCTGCACATCTGTTCTGCAGTGTAAGAGCACTTTATTGGAGTCTCACTCTACCGGGTCTCTGGGCCTCAATAACATGGTTCCAGTGGACTACATGTGCTTGGGCAAAGTCCAACTTGGACCTGGTCCTACCTGGTCCTACCTGGAGGCAGGTATTGGTTGAGCTGGCCCCTGTGGAGCTCCTCTCATACCTCCTAAGGACAAATGTCCTAAGGACCTATATCCTCAACTTGCCACTTCTCCTCTCTTCCAGCCTTGCCCCTTGCCTGACTTCATACAAGTTCTAGACCACGATACAAGCTCCCTGGTCTTAGGAAAGGAGGAGGCTCCCCCGGGGAGGCTGGGAGGACAGACAGCTACCTTCCAGCATGCTGACATGCATGGCATCATTGGCTTTCTTTGGGACACTGAGCATCACCTCCAGGCCATCCTTGAGCTCCCCCTTCCCTTCTTCACAGCAAGTTAAAAGTTCCTGGGGGGAAAAAGTCCAGACACAATTAGAACCATTTGTCCCAGCTTCCCTACCCTCCCACCACCTAACCCATCAAGGTGATTACAGATCAGCTTCATTCTCTGTAATGGTTCCCTCTAAGCTATAAGGAAAGTGGGGTAGGATGTTATCTCCAAAGAATTCAACCACAATTTTTTCCCAGACTGAGCTTCCTCAGCTCAATCTAACCTAAGCTAACTCAATTCAACCCAACTCTCAAATGCCTGGCACTGTAAGTCAGCAACCTAGGGCATTCTCTGTCACTTGATTACCCTCCTGGAGAAGGAAGTACCCCTGGCAAAGCACACAAACAGAAGGTCAGTACTGTGGAATCACAAAGAGAAGACAAAAGGTGTGCAAAGAATGGATAGCACTCATATATCCCTGCACGCCTATTGCTGGCACCATGTTTATTTACATACCTCTGCTGCCTAAATCCTGCCTTCCACCATACTGGGAGCAACCTGGGGTTATAGACATTATAGGTTTACAGCATCTCAGAGTTATAAAATATTTTTAGATCGTATAAATCAGGAGTTCCTAGCCTGGGACCAGTAGATGGGATTCTGGACTAGTCCTTTTTGAATCTTAAATCTAGACTCCAAGTCCAGTACTCCATCTGCCATGCCAACCATGTCCCCCATGACCTCCACCACACTAAGACTTCCCAGAGCATGCCTTCTCTTACTTCCTCGTTGAAGACTAGGTCATTATTATCTCCACAAAAGACATACAGTATCTGCTTGATGGAAAAAAGATAATTTTCAACTCTCTTAAAAATTATAAGGACCATTTGAAATGATTTTCCCCAAGCCAGAGGAATGTTGGCTTTCATTTTTCCTATGAAGGTTATTGTAAATTTTGCTCATTTTGATACTGAGAAGGAAACAGTTAAGCAACAGATCTGCAATCCATACTCTCTCCTTCTAGGGGGTAGGGGGAGGCAGGGGATGGGTGATGGGTAAGATGCACTTCCAGGAAAGAAAGAAGTTGACCAGATCAAATCTTGTAAACATGTTAATGTCAGACCTCCTGGCAAATAAACTAATGGTACTAGCTAGCAGGAGAGTCTTCATCTATGGAATGCTTCCAGTAGGATATATCTGGCCTAAGACTTCTTGTGGTGACAAAAACCTGAATCTATGGCTTTAGGGGCATGGTTCCCTGTAAAATATCACAGATGCTATGCCACTATCTGAGTAAAAAGTTAGTATATTTCATACCAAAATGGTTCTCTTTAGGGTAAATGATCTGCTACAACATACGCCATGTAGAAGGTCTGTATGTTAGTCTGGGCCACAGCACATCCTGAGGCTCCAAGAAAGGACCTGGAGCTGTTGGTGGTCCTGGACTTCTCTGTGCTTTATCTCTGCCTTGGGATTATTTGTATCCTTGACATTAATAGTAAAGCTTTATACTTGGTAAGATATCTGATTAGTGAGTATCTGACATGAACATCCAATCCTTTGTGTCATCTCAGATACATTCCCATATGAAGAAGGGAGCTTTGAGTGTCCAAAGGAGAGGTGAACGACCTTGAGCATGTTTGGGAGGCAGAAGCGATCAGTTCTCAGCTCTGTCCTTGGCTCCAGCGAGTGTAACGGCGTCATTGTTCAGAAAGTTGCATTTATTTCTACCAACCTGAAGTTTTCTGATTCTTCCCATCCCTTTCCTAATTTTAACCCTCCCGACCTAGTTCTCATATATCCTCAAAGGAATCGCTAGGCAGAAGCATAAGAGACAAATATGAAATACGATTCAGTGTGCAACAGAAAACACCAATTGGTTCAACCCCCCAAAGCAGTGTGGCAAGTCCACCAATCAGCCAGCAAAGCCAATAAGTTCTTTGGGCCCTTGTTATAGTTGATGTTAAGGAGAAGGCTCCACATTTAATTTAGACTCCAAAAGGACAGCTGTAGCAGATTTACATGGAAAATATTGAACACCAACTGACATATAGTTTTTATTTTCATGCAACACCCAAAGTGAGGAACCCCGGAGGATACTAATAATTAAATATCAATATATTTGGAATAAAACTGTCTTTAATGAGAAAATAAATCCCACACTATTTATTTATAGTAAAAGCTCAGCAAACTATTTTTCTTTTACTCAGCAGGTACTCTGCTACCAGTGCCTTTATGAGTTCCAAATCACCTTAGTAAGTCTTTTTTCCCCAATAAGAATTTTACAACTTTGCCACAATCCAATTCCCACTACTTCATTTTCTTCCTTCTCAGTTAACTGCACAGTTGTCTCTTCCTAAGACACCCAATTACAGAATGAAGGCCTAGCGCCCACCCCTCCAGCACCTAAAGCAAAACACAGGGCATCCTTTCCATCCTCCATGTCCTTCCCCTATCCGTGTCACAAAATTATCCTGGGAACCTCAGCCCCCTGGGATTCAAAGGGAGAGGTGAAAAGCTATAGCGGAGTTGGATCTTACTTGGGTTAAGGTACTGGCAGTGTGGATGGGCGAGTTTCTATTTTGTTTTGCTTTTTAATTTACAACCCCACTAATTCCTGAAAAGGCCCTGGGACACTTAAATGTAATGACCACAAAAATGAATTTTAAAATATCTTCTGGTACAAGAAAAATCATGTAGTGGGTCAAGCATTAAATGGGCTAGGGAAGGAGGGGATAATTATACACAGAAAAATGGGCCAAGGAGAAACTAGTAACAATACAGTAGTAGTCATAACAGGACTCAATGCTAATTATCTGATAGTCAAAGGCAAAGAAGAGCTAGAGCTCTTGTGATTTACAGGTAGAGGGCACACCAACGATTTCGGAGAGAACACCCATACCCCACTCTGAGATCTTATGAGAGTTTCTGTGAGTCTTTATACAAGGAACTTCAAAAAACAAAGAGGACATCTTCAAAAGCAATTCTGCTAAAATAGCCAAGATGCTCTTCACATTGTTACTTCTCACACAAGGCCTCAGTAAAGGCCTAGGGCATGATGCCGTGTGGTAATTCTCTAAGGCATCCCTCCAGGGCTGGATGACTTGAGTGCCTGGAAGCAGAAGCCCAAAAAGTCTCTTCTTGGAGACAAGGAAAGAAGATGTTTGAAGGTGGAGCCAGAAGGATGGGGTGAACTCGTCCTTGCTCTGACCCAGAATGGGGAAGAGGTCCAGGGCACCGGTTGGCTGATGCCCCGCTCTTCTCATCGTGGAATCATACTGCTATGCAGGGAGACCCCAGGGGCTTGATGGGGGGGCACTCCAGTGTGAGTAGAAACCTAGGTTTGAAACTAGACTGGTTTTCAGGTTTGGTGAAGTTAGAATATGTGAGATTCTGCAAGCATCTCTACACATGAGTTGAATTTCAGCAGATTTTCTCTGGAAATATACTACTTAGAACATGCCTCCCACTATCCCTATGTCCTTTGCATTTGAGGAGCCACCAAGCAAAGTATTCAAACTTAGGGAAAACTTCACCCTTATATCTTGAGAATTGATATGCATAGGGATTCCATAACTGCTTATAGGATCTGTTTTCCAGGCTTTCTGTGGGGGAAATGTCATATTTTCAGATGGTCAGTGTCTCCTTTCTTAAGAAGAATCAGCGCAAGTTACTTAGTATTTCATATAGTTTGGTTATTTGAAATTTAAAGAAAATATTTTGGAGAAAATCCAAATCTTTTGCTTGGCTCCAAAAGAACCCCTACCTAACATATGGATGGGATCCTCCAGACACAAGAGTGTCATTTTGTTTTAATCTGCACTCTCAGAAACTTCATAGTCTTGACAAACAGAGATTAAGGCAATGGTAGGTGCCACCCTGGGCCTCTGTTGCCTATGTAGACTGGCCTTGCCCTGAATACCTTGACCCCTGACCCTATCTGAAGCAGGGGCCACCGGGAGGAATCTGCCCCAGGGGGGCGGGGGGAAGGGCAAGTGAGGCCCCGCGTGTCAGTCAGGGCCTAGGTGGCAACTGCTCCAAGTTGTGCAGTGGTGGGCAGGTGTGGAGACAGTCACAACTAGTTCCTGCTCTCATTCTCCTCTGTCCCCACAACAAATAAGCACCCAGAATTTCACGGATAGGTCATGCAGTCTGGGAGCCCGCAAAGCCAGTGTGGGTTCATCTCTGAAGCTTTGCTGCAGGTGGAGGCGAGGTCTCGAGGTAGAAGCTGTCCCATCCTTGGGCAAAGCTGTCCCATCACACACACCCTGGACCTGGTCGGTAGTGTGGGAGGGGGTGACACAGTGGGGAGGGGAGGTACCTTCAGGAGCAGTTGGTACTTGGTGATCCTCTGGACGGGTTTGATTAGGTAGGAAGAGATGGAGTTGGCCAGACCGTGCCGCTGCTGTATTTCCTGCAGGGGTGACAACAGGCGCCATTATGCACAGAGGGGCACGGGTGTGCATGCGTGCGTGTGTGTGTGTGTGTGTGTGTGTGTGTGTGTGTGTGGAGGAAGTAGGCAAGGTGAGAAGAAAGACGAAGAAAAAGGGTAGACAGTTATGAGGAACTGTTCTTTGCTGGAGAGAGAAACAAGAGAGACCAAGATGAATGTATAAATAGAGAAAAGAAGAGATGGCAAAAGGGGAGGGAAAGCAGATTTGTGTGACAGAAATGGAAATGAAGAAGAACAGGGGAAGGATAAAAGTGGAAAAAGGAAGTGAGGAGTTAAGTAACAGACAGAAGGGTAAAGGAGAGGTGGTGGAGCACAAGTAAGAGGGAATAAACCCAGAGCAGAAGCAATCACAGGGGGATAGCAGGACGATGAGAACGAGGGGAGGCAGAGAGCAGGGCTGGGAGGTCTACGCTGATGGCTCCTGAGTCTTTATCCCCTTACAACAGCACAAGGGGTATCTCCTTTCCACCCCCTTCTCTCCAACTTAAACCCACCCTAACATGTAATCACCTCTGCATTCCCTACAACTTATTCCTGGTGATCCACGGCACCTCCCTCGTTCTTCAGATCTCTTGAGCTGGCAACCATGGGGTCACTGTTAGTTGTTTAACTTGTGTTATCCCTGGCCACAGGTCTTTCCTCTCCACCCTGTTCACACTCAGGCTACAGCCCGTGACCTCCAGCTGCTGTTTGTGCCTCTAGCCTCTTTTTAGTCCATTCTCTATCCTACCTCCAAAATGATCTTCCAATCCCCAAGGTGTAGGTGCTGTGAAAGGGTAGTGAAGGGTCCATGTGGTTCCCTGCCTCAAGAACCTTCCACCCCAGGCCTCTGAGAACACTCACACACATAAAGTAGCAACAAAGGAGATGGAAGGTATTCCCGGCGAGAACAGAGAGGAATGGCTGGGCCAGGAGTGGTGGAGGGTTTAGGAGAGATAAAGTCTTCCACTGAGGTTTAGAAGATAGGTGGGGAAGGAGGGGAAGTGGAGAAGAGCAAAGCTGGATGAATGGCATTCTATAAATGGAAAACATATTTAAGAAGTCCACAGGAAATAATCTTTGTGGATTTAGATGATAATGGGGACCATGCAGAATGGTACAGAGGATGCACACCTAGAATCCAGAAAAAATGAAAAATACAGTTAGATAAGCAAAGTGTATTTAGGTCATGGATGGGGTTGAGCTAGATGAAAAAAATCAGGATTTTGGTGGTGAGCTTCTTAATGGTAAAGTATTGTAGATCTTAAATAGAAGAAAAACATGGTGAAAGCACTCTTTCAGAGAGCCATATAAGCCTCATAGCAAGGGTGGAGGTTGGAAAATAGAGGCAGAGAGACCTGTTAGGAGGTTATTGAAAAATCCCAAGGGTGCAAACATAGAGTTGCCATGTGATCTAGCAATTCTACTCCTAGGTATATGCCCAAGAGAAATGAAAACATATGACCTTACAAAAACTTAGATACAATGTTTATAGCAGTATTATTAATAATGATGAAAAAGTGGATACAACCCAAATGTCCACCAATTGATGAATGGAAATATACGATGTGGTACACCTACACGATGGAATATTATCGGGCCATAAAAAGGAGGGTAGTGCTGATACATGCTATAACATACATGGGGCCTGAGAGCATTATGCTGGTGAAAAAAGTCACAAAAGAACACATATTACATGATTCCATTCCTGTGACATGTCTGAAATAGGTAAATCTATAGAGATAGAAAATAGATCATTGGTTGCTTCGGGCTAAGGAACAGATGGGAGGATGAGGTGGGGGTGAGAGCTAAAGGGTGTGGGGTTGCTTTCTGAGGTGATGAAAAAGTCCTACAATTGACTGTGGAGATGGTTGCGCCTATCTGTGAATATATGAAAACCCTGAGCTTGTTCACTTTAAATACACGTATAATCAATAGCTATGGCTGTATCTATCTCTATCTCTAGGTGTGTAACACGGGCTTGCCCTGAGCTAGGGTCAGTGAGGACAAAGCACTGGAGGAATACAGGAAGCACTTTAAAGTCACCCAAGATAGGACTTGCTATGCGGCCGTGGAGGAGGGTGAAGAGGAATTAAAACAATGATCGAATTCCTGCCAACTATCCCAGAAAGTAGCAACTTTCTCAGTCATCTGCCTCTTTGCTAGAGGTGTGCAGTTACAGCAGGACTTGTCCACGGATGACGGGCAATATGGCGGGCAGCGTGACTCTCTGGGCAAAGGAACATGGTGAGTTTCCCTGGGGGCTCTGGCAAGACAGCCCCGGCAGTAACACACCTGATGGCCCTCCCTCTCCGCCAGCCATGGGAAGAGGCTGCATGTGGGGCAGCGAGGAAGGTCCTGCCTCCGGCGGCTAGGGCAGCCGACCCATGCTCACTAGTCACCAGAGCAACCAACACCATGCCTCACAGCTCTCGCATCGGAGCTAGAAAATTCTGGATCATGGGAATGTGCGCTCCTTTCTGGAGCTTCACTTTCTGTGTACTGTCCACAGTAATGGATACTAAAAGATAGCCTAATGAAGGGCTTGTCTCTTTCATAGAACGAGGGCCTAGAGCAGATATTTTCCATACGTAGAACTTAGGGAACACTTTCTGATGGAATGGGAAAAGGTACAAACATTATGCGTTCTGGAAAGCTCTGGGAACAATCAGGAGGGTTTACTGCTCTCCCTTCCCACCTCTCTATGCTGAGCTCTAGGGACTCCTACCTAGTGGACTGTTTTCTCTGGTTTCCAGCAGCTCCTCCGTCACTACATTGGAAGTGTGTGTGTGGGGGAAGGGATAGGGTGCAAAATTTGGGGGATATCTAACTAGTCAAAGTCTAGAAATTGGCTAGAAACAGGGATACGATGAATATAGGACTGTACATTATGATGTGTACAAAATGAGCCAGGCAAATCATCAGCCAACCTCAAGGGGACCATAGGTGGGAGGAGGTGTGCGAAATTGAAGGGTACGTTGTTAACCTGCCAAAAGGCAAATTGTTACAAATACCATAAGACAGAAAAAAGTATAACAATGCCTAGAGAGAGGGAAGGATTCATGCAGGAAATATTTGACCTTTAAAGGATAGAAAGAATTCTGAAGACTGGCTCTGTGTGTGTGTGTGTGTGTGTGTGTGTGTGTATACATACCCAGAGGACACACACAGAGGGGTAAGACAGAGAACACTGGGAACAAAGGTGAGGAAGTGGAAGAGTCTGAGGCATGCTCAGAGCACAAGGCGAGTATGTTCAGAAAAATGCTAAGTGGAAGACAGGATGCAGTGCATTTAAAACTTCACAAAGACCTTTTTGGCTACTGTTGATGAATAACATCTTAAGCAAAACACATTATTAACAAAGGTAACAGTGGTAATAGAACATCCAATATGATATCCAATAAATTCTGATACCAAGTTAAAGAAGTGCTTTTCTTGAATTTTCTGTCAAATCTAACCTCAAAAAAATTCCAATTTGGGACACTCAGGACCATTTCTCTATTAACGCTTCATTTTAAAAAGTCATGTAGGTTTTTTCTTGTCTGGCTCCCTCCCATTCAAGGGTCATTCCTTCATGGAGCAACAAGACTCTTGTGGAATCATTTCTGCTATGGCAGTGCCAGGCTAGAAAGATGCTCAGAGGTTTATTTTGTAGACTTGAATATGGGACTAACATTTAAATGTCTGCATTCCCCAAGGTGCCCAGTACACCATCTTCCCTACAGGAAATACTCAAATATTTACGGGAGAGATGAAAGCAGGTAGGCAGAAAGACAGACTGATAAACATGAAAAAGTTCTGAATTTCATGCTGTTGTCATTTCTGAGAGGACTAGCATAGTGACCATCACTGCTACAGTCACTCTCTCCCTGAACTTCCTTGTCCCCCCTCATTTCTTCTCCTTTTTCTTCCCTTGTATCCTGCATTGACCCGCTTGATTCTGTTCACTCGAGATGGCAAGGCCCATCAGTGCCCACTTCGCTTGGCTTCCATTACAGCACAAAGTGCTCAGCCCTGGCTGTGCTTATTCTCACCTGGAAACTTTTAAAACTCTCAAAGTCCAGGCCAAACCCAAGCCAATCATACCAGAATCACAGGGGCAGTACCCAGGAGTCAGCATTTTTCAAAGCTTCCCAGGGAATTCAAATGTATAGTCAAGGTTGAGACAACTGCGGTCGAGTAGTGCTTCTCAGACCTGAGTGGGCACCAGTCACTGGAGGCTTCTTAACACTCAGATTGCTGGGCTTTAGCCCTGGAGATTCTGATTCAATAGGACCTGGGTGCGGGGAGGGTCCAAATTTCTACCCAGTTCTCAGGTGACGTTGATGTGGCTGGTCTGGGGACCACACTTTGAGAACCCCTGTGTTCGAGGGAGCTGTGCATGAAGCAGAAATGCAGCATCTTAACCCCTGTGTTATCACTGATCTCCTCTACACATGGGATTTATGGCTAGCTCAGTTTGGTGTTGAGGCGTGGAAGGCAAATGTGCCTTGTCTAAGACCCCAGCACTTGAGATGAGGTGGGGAAAACCAAAAGACAAACACTGCTTTTGTTTGGCTCCGTGCTTTATCCATGAGAAAGAGGTTTGGGTGGCCAAAGAACAGTGAGCAATAAAGGATAAAAACTCATTTTCCCCAAAGTAGAGAAACATTTCCACCTGCTCATCCATGGCTCAAGAATGGAAAACTATGGCTTACATCAAAGAAGGTGCCTGCATGCTCCAGGATCAGCTGATTGGAATCAGGCTTGTTTTTACAGTAGGTGACGTACATCTGAAATTTGTCTGCCTAAAAAGAACAAAGGCAATCATAGGTAAGCATCCATCCGCTGCTCCCTTCTGTTGACTGGGCATGAAAGGCCCAGCAAGGGCTGTGCGGTTAAGCTCTCAGATATCCTGCGGCCCAGGATTATCTGTGGCAAATGTTCTGGGCTTATCTGGCCCATGTTCCCCTCCCAAACTTTGGGATGCTTTTCTCCTACGTGCAGGTGGAGAAAGCTTGCTGAAAGTGAGCTTATTGATACCAGTCTGCGTTAGAAAGAATTAGAAAAACCAATTTGCATAATGTGTTTTGAAGCTGGCTGGAATTTATTTAGACATTACCCCCTTTTTGGGATGACCTACGATTGTGCTTCCCCTCTTGAGAAATGACAGCATTTGCACTAAAAACAAAACCCGGAGAATGAAAATGAAGTGTGTCCTCCGAGGTAGATCTGCTCGTATTCCAAAGGTCTCTGCGGGGGTAGTTTGTAGGACACGCCAAGCGACGATGCTGTCATCTCCAACTTCCCAGAAGCAACGATGCGGGGAAAGAAAAGTAAGGTGACCCTCTGGGGAAGGGCCTGAACGATGAGTCCTAAGCAGATTTTTACTTCAAGCCAAGAACCTTGAGCTTGGTGAAAATTCATTTCTTGTCTCTCTTGGGACCCTCTGGGTTAGTGCTACGTGTCCTTACTCCTGGGAAAGGTGTGTGTATTCTGGCCACCCAGTACCTTTCCCATTTGTGAAATGCTGTCAGTGTTGGTGCCCACAGAACACTTGGGATGTCCTCTTCTGAGGAAGCTGCCCAGATATGTGTTAATTCTCGTAGGACTCATCCATGCCAGCACTTTTCCAACTGCTTTTCATACATATTAACTCACCTGATTCTCCTGAGAACCCTATGTAGTGAGCTCTATTACTATCATCCCCATTTTACAAATGTGAAAACTGTGGCACAGGCTGGTTAAGTAACCTTAAATTCCCACGGCTAGAACATGGCAGAGCCTAGGCCAGCTGACTTCAGGCTTCCTGGTCATAACCATCGCCTTTCAATACACTAAAACAACTCCTTCTACCCTCCTATGTGAAGATTATGGGATTTAAGGAAGTCACCTTGGGATAATTCTTGGCAAAATGTACATAGTTTATGCAATCATTGAAGGTTTTCTGAAACCAATTTTAGGGTTTATATACTACGTGGGAGGCATTTATCATCCCTAAGACATGCTGATAAATCATACTTACAGTTGATTGTTAGGCAGATCCATAAATTGTATGAAACAAGATGTAAAAAACAAACAAACAAAAAAACCCTTCACTGTTTTTTCTCTACATTGGCTATGCAAGGTATCATAAATTGTTTATCAGCATTAATATGAACTGTGCATGGGCTCATGTATTTAGAGGTAGAAAAATGTATTAACACAAATAAGATGGCAATCTAAGACTCCTTAAGAAATGAGAATATGCCAGGAAGAAAATGTTAAGGTTTCATGTAAAAAAACAAACAACTTAGGTCATAAGTTGTGGGACTGGCTATGATATTTACTACATGTCAGTGGACTAGTCAACCTTCTAGGTCAGCTGAATTGTTTTCCCCTATAAAATATACAGCATAACCATAGCCCTACCTAGTCCATAGGCTGTTGAGAGCATGAACTCTCTGAATCATGAACACATTTTGAAAAGTAGCCCATTGTGAGTGGAAATTATGATAATTATTAAAAAGAACTCCTAGAAGGAGTTCTACGTTTAGATGCATTTAGTATCACAGGTGGACCTCCCTGGAGATGTTTGTACTACCACAAATCTGAGCTCAAAATAACATGGCGTGGAGATGCTAATAAAGACTAAGGTTTCCATTTATATAATCAGAACCTGGTACATTCAGCCCATTTACTTGGCCCATGACAACAGCACCAGGAAAGAAAATGATTAGACATGGATTTTGTAGGTCAGAACTGGGATGGATACCCATGGAATCTGTTCTTCTCTATTAAGGAAGAAAATGTGACCAATTATTTGGCAGATTCCTAAAGGTCTAATTCCCCAATCCTTATCCTGTAAAAATAAACAGAACAAAACCAGTGCATAGAACTGGAGTAGTACCTCTATCAAGGGTGGTGGCATTATTCTACTCTCCTGATGTCTAAATTTTAGAAAGGTCTCCGAGAACTTAACGTGGAGTTTGGACACAATGTCTAAGGACTTTTCCCAAGGAGGACTCTGCTCCTTGGGGATGGACTGCTTCTCTCAGATCTACTTCTGCTGCCTCCCGAGAATCCCTGGTCCTGTGTTAGAATGTCAGTGACACCATTCCTCAGCTCAGGCACCGAATAGTGATGCCATCTGATACCATCTGCACTCCTGGAAAGCATGGCACAGTGGGAGAAGAGGGATTTCAGGTCAGTTACCCAGGTAACAAAGCAGTGTCCCACATCTTCAGGCAGCTGCTCATACTTCTCCAACTCTTTGAGGAAGATGCTGCAAGGAAAGAGAAAAGCTGGATCAGACATCTCTGCATATTGCCTCCCTCCCCACCCAGATTATACCGAGGCCAACACAACCCCATACACTCTCCATTATTTACACATGGCTTCTCCACTCTCTAAGTGATACATGGTGAGGAGTGGCTTTAAATATATTAGAACTTATTTCATTACAATTTATATTAACTGATTAATTAGTGCTACTTAAAATTGTATTGTTTCCCTTAGGGAATTTATATTTCTCAGGCTGAAAAGCAATTAAATATTATACTTGTGTTGGGGCTTTCACTGTAACTGCAACTATGAATCTATTTTTTATACAAGTAATCTGAACACATTGTAACAGTTAAAAATATATAGAATAGATATCAAAAAGAATGAAATAAATATCATTTATGAGACCAGAGATGAAGTGGAAATGTTTTGAATCCTGCAAACACTTCTTTCCAATTCTTGGCCTCCTTCTTCTCCCAGTAGTTACTCTGTGCTAAAAACTCTGAGTTACTGTTTCTGAATGCAGACATCATTAGGAAAGAAAACTCCATGGGGGAAACGTCACAATATAGTTGAAAGCTGAATTGAATTACTACAGAATCATCTGCCATTGTGGATATCCATGCCCTTGGCTCCTATCTGTGTGAAGAAGTAATGAAGGGTTGACTAAACCAACTTCAAATTAATATGTTAAGCAATTTGTCTGCGCTCAGAGAATACAAGCTCTAAAAAGCCAGCATCACTGGAATGGAATTTGCTTTTTAACAATCGTGCAGAGGTTTTAAAATAAAAAATAATTACAACGCTATGGGGAAACATACTGATGGAAATGGAAGATGTAATCTTTACAAAGTGCAATGTGACAATATCTACCAAAATTTTAAAAATGTACTTATCTCGTGTTTCTGCAACTTTAATCCTGGAAAATTTCCTATATATTTTAATTTACATATGTATAAGATGATGTAAACATGTGCATTCATGGTGGTACTGTTCATAATAGTAAATGGTGGTCTGTAAGTAAGTAACTGGTATATCCACAGAACTGGATATTACACAGCTATGAAAAAAAATGACAAGGCTTTCTGTGTTTTCATTATGAAGGATCTCCAGGGCAGGCTGTTAAGTGAAAAAATGCAAGGTGTGGAAGAATGTATATAATATGCCGCCTTTTATCTAAGTACGGAATATGTATTCTTATTTCCACCCCAAGAAACTAATAGTCAAAGGGTACAATGTCAGTTATAAAAGGTAAGTTGTGAGATCCACTATACAGCATCATAGTACCTACAGCTAACAACATTGTGTTGTACACTTAAAGTCTGCTTAGAGGCGAGATGTTACGTTAGGTGTTCTTAAATAATAATAATAATAATAATAATAATAATAATAGGAGGAAACTTTGGGAGGTGATGGATATGTCCATGGCCTTGATGATGGTGATAGCTTCATGGTTATACACTCATCCCTAAACTCATCAAGTTTTAATATATTTAATATGTACAGCTTCTTACATGCCAATCATACTTTGATATGGTGGTTTTAAAAAAAAAGGTCATTACCATAGGAAACCAAGTAAAGAAATAGGGTGGATAAAGATAGTGGTGGGTTGGACTTCTCAATCTATATTTTTAAATTTAAGTTTGATTTTTAAAATTAATTCAAAAATTAAAAGATATAAAGCAGTTCTGAATCACTGCATTACTTACTTCTATCTTTGAAAAAAATAAATTTTATTGATTTGACCTACTCTGCCGGGCTCCTATTGTCTAAGCATTCTGGCAGTATCTTATAATTACAGTTAGTTATGGGTTCTGCATAGGTGTTACTTGTGTTCCCCCCATCAATAACATAGGAAGATGTTGTTTTTAGTTTTAGTCATATTTGGAAGGCTATAATGCAAATGACTGGTGGGATCACAGTGATATAATTTTTTGTCCACCTGTAATGCAAATTTTTCTATAATAAATGAGCATTGCTGTTTTAATAAGAAAAAGTCACTTAAAAATTTGGGGGGACTCTTATAGCAGTACCCATTTAATGATAATCATCCTTTCGCTAACATGTGAATTTTAGAGCATCCTGATTTAAATCATGGAACGGAAGTAATTATAATGCAATTTGGGCTTTCGAAATACAAATATGCAGTGCTCGAAAATCAATAAGGTGTCCTATTTCCTACTACTTTTAGAAGAACTGCAGGTGACATACATGTATTTAATATGACTTCTAAAACAGAAATAAAATAGGAGAAAATATTATATAATGCTGTGATTGAGGATCAAATTTTTTTCCAGGCCCAAAAGGAAACATCCTGTTTTTGCTGCAAGAGAAGCAGTCTGGGGGCCCCTGGGTGGCCCAGTCAGTTAGGTGTCTGCCTTTGGCTTGGATCATGATCCCAGGGTCTTGGGATTGAGCCCCATATTGGGCCCCCTGCTCAGCGGGGAGTCTGCTTCTCCCTCTCCATCGGGCTCTCCCTCCCTGCTTATGCTCTCTCTTGCTCAAATAAATAGATAAAATCTTAAAAAAAAAAAAAGAGAGAGAGAGAGAAGCAATCTGGTTCTCCACCATATCACCTCATCACTGAATTCTAAAAGGCATTTATTATGTGGTCCTTCTTCATGAGAAACACTAAATAATATAATATACAACATCTTCAGAAGTAGTTTTCCAGAAGGTGTTTATGTGGTCACTCAATATAAATCTCAGCGAAGACAATGAATGCCATGATGGACTGAACAGGGCCTGGGGTGGGGACTGGAATAGCGTGGTGACGGGGGAGAAAATCTGATGGGCTATTCTAGGACAAGGATTGGTGAAAGAAAATGAGAGGCTTTAAAGAAGGAAGGACCTAGGAGAGAGCAGAGACAGAGGGGAGAAATGGGAGAATCTAAAAGCCCCTGGCAGTTGGGATAAACCATCTCAGCTTGTGGAAGACCTCTGCTTCCCCATCTCAGGATCTCACTCCAGCTCAGCTCAGCTCAGACTCCCGTGGTATTTATGCCCTTCTACTTTAGGGTGATCAAATCAACAATAAAACAGTCAGATCATGACACTCCATACAGGAGGAGACAATTCAGGGAGCATTTCCCTCTTTCCTTGACTTAGGACCCATGGTCAGTGTTTAAGGTTAACTTTAAACAAACAGTGGTAATTATCCCAATAGAACTGATAATTGATCTAGATGCTGAAGACAGTGCTGGGAATTTTCTTTAAAATCTTGACTATCTAAATAGAGCAATACCATTACTTTCTGTGATAGTAGCTATATCAAAAAACCTATGGGAGGATGCTCAGTTTGAAAATTCTCAAGAAATAAAAGCACCATAAAATGAATTAAATGGATAGAATATTACTTCTGTAATGAATGCCTTTCTGGAAATGAAGGTTTTAGCAGCAACGGCCACCAGCTCACCCTTCTACTGATCCTGTGTCTCACTTTCCTTTCCTCCCACAGCTAAGCAGAAGTTAAAGAACCAGAGTTCCCTCTTACAGCTGTGAGGGGGCTCTTCCAAAGCCACATTTTCCTCACCTTTGAATAACAACCTCGTGGGGCTGTTGTGAGGATTTAATTAATCCATGTGGGTAAAGAGCCCACCCCAGTGCCTAGCATACAGTAGACTCTAAATAAACATTAGTTCTTTAGGACCCATACTTCCTAATCTTAATAAACTCATACTCTGATAAACATACATATTGCACACTTTCCTTCATTCCTGGAGACTCATTCCTAGGGAACTCTCTGCTAGGGGAGCCCCTGTTGGAAAATCTATAGTAGATTACCTTCCCCTAGAACATATCCTGGGCAAGTTACAAAACTTTAAGTTTGGGAAATGCTGGGCTGAGCTGCTCTCTTTACTGCAGGGCTCCTAAAATCCTATAAAATGATGAGGGGCATGATAAGTCTCCGAAGTAGATACAGTGTGCAATGCTTCCCAAACTTCTTTGTAAGTTTTGGGGGGCAGTATCAGACTTTGTCTCAAGGAACACTCCTGGAAAACCCTAGCAGGTGGTCCCCACACCTGGCTGTGCACTGTCCTCTGAGGTTTGGATCTGAGTCTCTGCATTGATCAGAAAATCTCCCTGGGTAAGTCTACTGCATCCGGTCCATAGACCAGCATTTGAAGGCAAGTGCCTCAGATTCCACTGTGCTTCTAGTTGGCAGATCCTATAATGACTCTGTATGATTTAATTTTTTAATAAAAAAATCTAAAACTTAGAAAAACTATCTTGTGCTGGGCATATCAATTCCTGACTTTGAGTAAGACATCCAGCACCATCTCAATGTGATTGTTGAAGGCAAGTGGCAATGTGCAATGCTTCCCAAACTTCTTTGTAAGTTTTGGGGGGCAGTATCAGACTTTGTCTCAAGGAACACTCCTGGAAAACCCTAGCAGGTGGTCCCCACACCTGGCTGTGCACTGTCCTCTGAGGTTTGGATCTGAGTCTCTGCATTGATCAGAAAATCTCCCTGGGTAAGTCTACTGCATCCAGTCCATAGACCAGCATTTGAAGGCAAGTGCCTCAGATTCCACTGTGCTTCTAGTTGGCAGATCCTATAATGACTCTGTATGATTTAATTTTTTAATAAAAAAATCTAAAACTTAGAAAAACTATCTTGTGCTGGGCATATCAATTCCTGACTTTGAGTAAGACATCCAGCACCATCTCAATGTGATTGTTGAAGGCAAGTGGCAATGTTAAACTCTATTTTGCTTTTTAATTTAAAGCTTATGAAGATGACAGATTATGCAACTCTGATCCATATCGTTCTATCTACTTCAAATAGACACGATGAGTTTAAATTAAAGCACGAGAGGTCATAACACTCTCCACAGATGATGGGATATTCCACGTCGGCTCTTCTATAGCAACATCTTGGTCCTCACCATTTCAATAATTATATGTAATGAATCATGAGAGAAGAAGCAGAGCAAGTAGTTTAAGTGTTTATGTGAATGTCTAGGGTTATTTTTGAAGTGAATAAAACTTTTAAAGAAA